CTCCGAGGTGATAATTTGGTGATGTTATCACTGGGCTACCACCACCCAATGTGAACCTAAGACAGCAGCAGGTGGTTGGATGTCAGTCCACACCTTATATGCAGTGAAGTTGATCAAAGTCCCACAATTCATGCCCTGGATCCTTCGTGTCCTAACGACTGATCCTTGATAATTGTTGTGGGTATGATTTTGAGAACAGGTCTACACTCACGGTTCTCCTTCCACAATTTTGATGACATACCAGCATTTACTGGTGAGCGAACTGCAGTTCCTCGCGATTATTGGGTTTGCTTCGTATGCTTTTCATTACACAAGGNCAAGGGTGTGTAATGAAAAATGTACACCTCAAATCACGCTTACCATTGATTGTTTTTTGACATGTGATTCCATCAGTCCTTCAAGTCGATCTTCAATGTCCCTCGAGATTTGTATTAGTGCCTCTGATTATCCCCTAAACGTTTCGATGGTCGATGTGTCCATCAGAACGTTTTGCACCATGGAACCTATGAAACTCGCGCAAGCCAAGCAAATTGTTATGTAGGCGCTATGTCATCGTAAAAGATCGCTTCAGTAGTTGTGCTACATACGTAGTTACAAGCTGTGCCTGATTTGAACTTCGCTTTATTGATGATTCTGTTCAGGAATACCGGATAACCCCGATCCTTCATCAGATAATCCCTTGGACATGCTGCATTGTTGCTATAACGGTTGGTTTCGAAGATGTAGTTCCAAGCACGTCTTCGCCCATCAAGCTCGGCTAGCGAAATTACTCATTCCTATAGCCATCCGATGGATTTGTTTCTCTCATTCCTTTACACACACCTGTGCATTGACCAAATCTAAATGTATATTTCTTTGATGTTCATTCACTAAAGGAATAGGAATATGCCTCCTTTATCGAACATCGTATTCTTCGAATCTCCGGTATAGTGAGAATGAACTGTGTACGATGCAGGCTATCGAGCACAGCCACTGAATAGGACTGAACATACTTTGAAACTCTAAATAGACATCTGAAAGCCGTAGAATCACCATGTGGCTCTTTTCAACGGGTGTCATTAGAGATCACCTATGCTTGTGATGAGACTAGCTAATTTGATCACCGTTCATCTTGAGGAACCCAAATATCGAGACGTTTCTTCCCTGATTCCCATATTCACTAGGCGACTTTCACATCAACCGGATTCGAAAAATGAATTAACTACAATGTCAAACTCATCAATACAGAAAGAAGACAAATGTTGCGAGATGTTGTCATTCCGTTTCATCTCCTCGATCGCTGGCTTAAGGCAAACAAAGTGAATATCCATCTGACCAAAATTTCATGTATCCCCTTATAGAACGGTGAACTACCTCGCCTGGGAAACTGAGTTTGGCTAAATTGAAGTATTCCAAACGGAGGGCATGAAGCCTCAGGATCATAGGTTGTGTAGTTGAGGGTGTTAATTTTGTTGAAAAAATGTGGATTTTTTTGTATTTTGAATTTCGTCGTGTTTAGAGTAAATAAAATGTGGACTGAAAGGCTAGAAAGCACCAGAAAGCTTTCGACCTGGTTGGATCTCATCAACAGTTCGAATCCAACGTCTGATCGACATTTGGATGACAAACAGCAGGTATGATCACGTGCACATAATTGAATGTATGTCTGATTATGAATTCTTGCTATGAATTTCCTCCATATCCAATTTGCATTCACGTGTTAGATTAGCACTTTGATTTTTCTTTTTCTATTTGTGCTGCCTGGGTTTCACACAGGAAATAAAGGCAATTTTAGATTAGGCATTTAGTTACTTGTGAGTAGTGTAGTGATATATAGCTAATAGTATATCGATTAGTCGTTCTGCAGACATCTTCACGCACAAGTCCCAGTTTCTGGAACCAAACGTTCTGTTAAGAACCACAAGATTGAAGTTTCGTAATTGTTGGAACTTATCGATAGTGTGTATTCACCGGCCTATTCAGGGTTTGAATCTCTGACCTCTAGAACGGAACCATGCACCACTGTTGACCCTCGAGTCAGGTATACTGAGGTTTACAGGCGACAATGAAGTCTATACTTTAAATGTACATAAAAAACTCAGAGTAAATCTGATGTGACCGTTTTGTTTGTGTTTTGGAGATTTCGAAACCCAACCAACAGTCCAACCTGGATGTCCTTCTTTATCCGCAACGTATTTTTCCCTGGAACATCTTCAACAAAACATCGTCTGTGCAGTTTCCTTCTGTCCATTTACCTAGATAAGAATTTTATTTAGGCCGCTATTGGCCTATTCATACAGTATAAATTTGTACTATGTGGTCGTTTATAGATCAGGAATTGATCCAAGTTTCTGACGATGGTTAGATTTATCTGAACAGGTTAAATGGTATTTTCTTCTGCAATACACGCGTTTCGATCCTTTTCCGGCTTTCTTTGTCTTCAGTCAGTCTGATAAACCGACCAAGAATTCAGCTTCGCGTATGCTTGGCGTACATTCAAGTCACGCTTTTCAACAACTGGACCAAGTGTATCGGGAAACTTTGCATATTCTTGACCAGTCGACCGAAGTACCGATAAGCACTGAAATTAAATACACATACGAGCTATTTTCCACGACAGTTCGTATTCTCAAGCAAGCGGTCCGGTAAGTTTCATCGCGTTTGAGCGTGCCGGTTTCCATATTGAGGTTGTTCTTTTTCAAAGACTAACTTTGAACGTCATCTTTGAAAAGTATTGTCCTCTGCAAAGTGGTAGTGAACAGTTTTTTTCCTGGTATTTTCTAGATTGCACCTCACTGTGATGCATAGCTGAAGGAGTAAACCCCATCGTCACGAATACCCAATAGAACTTGCAGTATATATATATATATATATATATAGTAGTTGTAGTGCGCACTGATCACGATGTAGGAATCACGGATGCCAGGTAAACACTGAATCACACTGATACTAGCACGACAGTATCCCACGTAATCGAGACACGAGGAAAAGGTCACAGGAATAGCATTTCGTTTATTGAAAGAAATCATGTGATTTTAAATAATATGTAAAAATAAAGTTCGTTGGTCATCCAAGCCTCTGCCGGTCGCTTGCTAGTATCTATGGCGTTGTACAGCTTCTGCCTGGGCCGCACGGCTTCCGATTGGCTGGTACACTCGACCTATAGTATGTAGTTCAGAGGCTGTAACACTTACGCACTGTGCTGACATTACCTGGGAAGCTTGATTGATCACAGTTGTCCTAAAACTGTAACGCATCGCTCCAGGATATGCGTCATCTCGTGGGCTAGGATCACCACGACAGTGTAACAATTTTTCTGTATTCTTCCGCTTTTGAGTAACCTGTTGATATTTTGCACTGGAACAATATTTTTCGCTAGTACCATGCTGTTGCACATTACCTAGACTTCACCGCTCATCAGTCTAGTGGGTCTGCTACAACAAAGTAAGCTGTTATATATCCAGGAGTATTTCAGTGGAAACTTTGCTGTCTCATCGAGTTCGGATGAGTAAACGTTGAGTGTTTCAGTTAAATTTGGTACTTAATTTGCCATTTCCGGTCCTCGATGGAGGTGTGTAAGTGGGGAATACGCATATAGAACAGTATAGATACCTGAGGTAGAATAGACACATCCCTCATCTACCACGATCGGCTTATTGTTCTAGGACGCCGAGAAATGTAGTAATAGTGAGCCGACCGCCGTGGCTTTCCCGTCAGTATCTGTCATCAGGACAGATTCCCTCAAGGTATGTCTACGCACAATCGAATTTTGTATTCTGTGTATACACCAAAGAGGTTTCTTTTCTTTTTCAAAGCGGGTTCACTCGCTATCAACTTAACCCATTCGTACCTACCTTGCACATATTTTTTGGTTAGAAGCGATCAATGAAGTTTTCTGTATCTTGCCGTGCGATGCTGCTGCTGTCGATGATAATTTGGTTTAGTTGACTTCAGACCAACATAGTTGTCTCCTATTTGCAGGTGTCGATCCATGGTCGATTCGTTGTATCAGCATCTTGAGTTGCCTTTCAACCATTCCGAAGTTGATCATTCATTGTCCATCCGATTCGCGCTCATTTGTGACTACCTGCTTGTGCGTGCCTGTCGTTACCTGTCCAGCCACTCCGAGATGTGTTCCACTGGCGATCCATTTCCAAGTCAGTTCAGTTGCTTGATTCACGCGACCGCACCGAAACACCTGATAGCACACTTGTTAACCAATTCTGTATCTCTACCAACGGGATCATTGCCTTCTTATTCGGCATGGGATTTCCGCAGAGAAGCGTCGGAAACCACGGCCTCGTTTTTGCCCCATGTGGAATTGATGTGTCGTGCACTTGATCGAAGACTAAATGCACTCGGTGAGTTGATCACGTTCTCCGTGTACACCGCGTGTAAAACTGTGCGCTGTACACATGCTGCCACGAATCGTATCTCATGGACTTTCAAATCTAATTTTCTATTCTGTACCTTCTCGTTAGGCTTGGCCTCATGGTTCGTTCAGTGCAGCGATCCGAAAGATGTGCATTTGGCTAACAGGTAAGTGGAGCTTTCCATATTCCGTTTTGCAAATCGCTCAAAAGTGTTTATCCTGCATGTTTATTGGCACGATCGTGGTTCTCGTCAGGAGATCAGTGTATTATGCTGCACTCTTGAAATTTATAAATTACTTTCTGTCGGTTTTCCACACATGTTGGCTCGAAGTGGGTCGTGTGTCGTTTTCTTTCCGTTCTACCTTTCTCTCTCTCTTCTTCCAGTCTGCTCTCTCGTCTGATGAAACTAGCCCCGCTATTCGCTGTCAATCCTCAATTCGCACTTTCACTAATCATTCGAATTGACCGCCTCCGCCAACTCACCCTTCCCGAACAGAATTATTTAAAAGTGAGTTTCTCCAGAATGCATCTCACCCAGTAAAACATCAATCGATCTCCTTCTAACTATCCGATCGATTGATTCTAGTTTGAATTACTGAAGAATGTCCGGTGCATATCTGTGTTGATTGTTATAGCACAAGCAGTCTTCATAATACCACTTGTGATCTGGACAGCTTATACTCAGCACATGCTTTCTCTTTCTCCCCCTCTGGGAAGAAGAAATAGCAATAACACATGCGTATACATGTGTCAGGAGTTTTCGTACACCAACTAGTCGGTCTCACTACTGCAAACAGCCTGAGCTTGAAAACTGCAGATCGTTGGCGTAGAGCTATGCGTAGCCCAAACCCAGCTGCATTGACCGCAATGTAGATAGCAGTGAGATTTTCTGGGGACAGCCGAAATAATGTGATTAACATAAGCCAATCAATACTGTACTAGAGACTGGTTCAACCTACACTGAAATCGACGCGAATGATCCGTAATTTTCACCTACTGGTTTTCTTCAACAGTGAGACTGAGAATTCGATTTAAGGTGTTTGATAATCCTACTGTTTAGTGTCAGAGAATTCTTGATGCACATGTATATCACTGCCTAAATGAATACCAGAAGTTCTTTAGTTTTTGGATGGAGCTTGCAATCTTTGGTTAGGTGATATTATCAGCAGAACAATTGAACAGTTTGTTATAGTCATTGCAATATATTCAATTAACTAATGATTCACTCCTTCGGTACTCGAGGTATATTTGCTTCTTTTCTCGGATCAGACGGGTGAATCGTTTGGTGCCGTTTCCGTCTATGTAGTTCAACCTCACTGTGCCGAGCAAATTGGATATCGCAAATTACACGATACTCGTGTAATTTCTGGACCAGCAATACCAGGGTTGGATGAAGGACACCGTGCAATCGCAGTCACGCACTAATACACTTAGTAAACGTTCGCATAATGTGCCGGTTGGGGCGTGCGTCACACATCTTACCGAATCAAACTATCACTTTTTATTTTTTTTTATTACACGCCAGTGTGTGAGGAACAACAGACGAGGTAAACCCCATAGTCACTAAGACCTTTTGTTCGATGATGGTAACCGACAACCGAAGCCCTGGGATTTGGAGCGGTGAACCACATAAGGCCCCGTTGGGTTAGGTGTAGTATTGAACCGCACGACAGCAGAGCTGCCTGCCAACCAAGTTGGTTGATGATGGTGGGGCTCGAACCTCGGACGGCAGGGTTCGAAGCACACCGGTGACAGTGACTAAACCACAGCTCCAACACCACCCAAAAGTGTGAAAAACTAGGCCAGCTTAGTTCAGTATATGGGTTGCGTTGGAATTCTCCGTTCGCAATCTCTTGATGAACCTAGGCAATGGTTAGCTACGTTGAGTGAACTGATTGTGTTGCACATAGTGGTGCTCTTACGCCCGTTCACTTTCTATCCCTCCCCCCCTTATATTTACACCAACTAGACCCTGGATAACGTTTTTAGCTTTCGTTTATTCTTAGTCCGCCTCATTGGTCACCCACATGTGTAGTCAGAAGTCAAATCACAGTTAATAGGTGTAGAAACTTGGTAAAAAAGAACTCATCTTTGCTCCGTTTGTACACGTTTTACAGTTCCTTCGGGCCATTTTATCCCACATGTCCACGGAGAACAAAGTTCAGCTACTGCACGCTGTTCATTCCGATCGAAATCCAACACACGCATGTCCACTCTCGCGTAACCCAAATCAACTGGAATCTCGAATGCGTATGCTGTTCAATCGTCTTGTCGTAATCGATGAGACTGACGTGAACACATCCGTCGGTGAGGCTGCCCAAATTTCGGACACCAAATCTACCGCAACGATCCGTGATCCGGAAGTGAGTTGGTCTTGACACAATTNACACTGACGTCCACCATAGCATTGTGATGTAACTTCAAATCGTTTGTTACCCCAGCGTGCAGTTCTTTTCCTAATATGATCTGTGTGTTCACCCGAGTTGCATAATCGTTCCAGTTACAGAATGCGACTGTTTAAAGTGACCGGAAATAGCCCTCACATAGAATTCCGACCTTCACTGATCATATAGAACAAACAGTATTGTTTAACTTTCATTTCCACCGCATGACTGCTCGGTTACGTGTTGTGTTCCCATCATTCATCGATCGAGGCCAAGCGGTTATTAGGTAGTTTAAGTGACTCTGGGCGGTTGACCGCCAAATTGTGAACGGATACGAATTTTGAGGCTAGTCACTTCCTTTTCATACGCTTTTTTAGTGTGACTAACATCAGACGGGTAGTCACGAACAACTACTGTACAGTGATGGAAACCGGTATCCTAAGCTTCGGGACTTGGAGTGGGGAACCACATAAGGCCCCTCTAGGTTAGGCGTGGTAATGAACCGACGACAGCAAAGCTGCCTATCACCAAAGTTAAGTGGCGGTGGCGGGGCTCGAACCTCGAACCATAAAGTCCACAGCACGGCGGTGACAGCGACTGAACCACCGCGCCACCACCACCCCTTAATGGAGGGTACAGAACCCATTAAATTTTTGTGAAGCTTATATCCGTCAAACAGAGAATTCAGTGCGACTCTCTGAATCGTGTTTTACATTACAACGATCGCGAGCCCACTATGTACCGAGATCCGAACGGCCCTAGCATTAACAACCACATCGGATTTCGTTCCTAACCCTGACAGACACGGATAACAGGCCTTGTATCGGAAAATCAACTTTAAATCAGGGGTTGTTTTTTCTCCATGTTCGTTGCGACTGATAGACTACTTACCATTGTGGCTTATTTGGACCAATACCAACCGGCGGTCTTGAAACAGGTAAGTTTTCATATTTTTGTTATACTACTCATAAGTAACAAATTTCTCATATTTTTCAGCAAATTTATGACCATCAATTTGGGTTGAAAATTAAATCGATTGATCATCGAGTTCGTCGAAGTGTCACTTGAATTTATTGCTTAAGCACTTAATGAATGAACGTTATAGAGAAAAAATAGTTCCACTGAGAAATCGATCAAACCCCCAAACAGTTTCTTCCACCATCTTCTGCAAATTTTATCGATAATTTTAATTTATGTTGTAACTACTTGTGGCGCTCCTAACTCAGCTCCTTTTTGCTAAAGAAATTGTTTACGTGACCGTCAGGTGCAAAAATATGAAGGAATCAT